GCTGTTGTGCATAGGGTCGCTATGAGTCGGAAACGACTCGACGGCACTTAACAACAACAACAACAATACCTTTACAGTATATTTCATTCCTATACATTGTTTTGTACAATCTTTCATTTACATTGTGTTTCATACAATTATTCATATACATTGTATTTTACATTCTTTTTTCACTACTATTTAATATGACCATGAACAAACCTCTACAAGCAAGTTAATTAATTTTCTCAGTCTCTACACTCCCCAGTTGTATCTTCTTTGGGATTTTCTGCTCTGCTCTGTCCCCAGGTACTCTATGTATTCTTATTCTCATGCCTTCACTCTCTCATATCCTATTTTCCTTCTACCTCAGTTCTTTCCATGTCTATCTATACCTTAACTACAATTTCTTAACCAGTCTATATATGGAAATATATTGTGTTTCAGATAGTCAAATTAATTCATTTTTTATACTGTTACTGTGTACCGTAGAATCAGAACCGACCCATAGGTGATTCTCTGGAGGGTTTTCAGAGGAAATTAATCACAAGAGAGGAGACTGCCCATCCTTCTCCTACAGAGTAGCTGGTGGATTCAAACTGCTTGCTTTCAGGATTGTAACACAGCTTCTTGTGACTAGGCTCCCAGAAAGAGTCTTGCTTATAGCCTTCAGAAGAAAGAGAGGTAAAGAGGAAGAAATTCAGAAATTGGTCTTAAGAAAAAAAGAGAGGAATGAAAGAAACAAAAGAATAATGAAAACATGACTGGATAAAGAATCATGACAGTTTTTCCTAAGAAATTATTTTATATCTGTCTTTAATTTTGTCTTTGTCTTTTTGGCCCACAGGTAATAGAAACCAGGGGGAAGTGCCTGCATGCCTGCTTGAGACAATCAAAGAGTTTCAGGGACACAAAGAGCCAGGTGAGTGGGTCCAGCACACAGGACATGGATATAAGGGCAGGAGATTTGTCGACACAGGGCTAAGGTTAGGTGACCAAAGACAGGGCTCCGGATCCAGAACCAGCCTGACCTGACATGGTTCTGAGTCTTGTCTCCAGGAGAAGCAGGTATTTTACACATCTCATGAATGGAAATCCAAAGTCTCTGTAAATGTTTATTAAAATTAATAAAAAATTACCAGCTTTGAAAATTCAGTGAAAGGTCACATGGATCAGAACTGACTGCAGTGGGTTTTTGGTTTTATGGACAATACTGACTGTGTGGGGAGACCTCTATCTTCTATTTCACTGATTCTCTTCAACTCTGCTCATATGTCCCTCCAATATGTTGACAGCATCTGAAATACTGGTCCTATTCTTCTAGATTCCAGTTTCTAGTTTTTCCAGAGTTTCTGATGCCTTACATGTTTCATTTGCATTGTCTTTGTTTGTTTTTATAAGTTCCAGGTGACTTTCCTGGTAGAAACCAGTAATACTTCAAGTTTGTCTTTCACCCACTGAAAATTCAATCATTCTTCTTTTGAATTTTGCATGCTGCCTTCAGGTAATTCCTTAATTTTGTGTTTTGATCACTTTTTTAGGTTAACTACTTGCTGTGGTTTTGTGTAGGATGTTATGTAGTCTGCTTCTTCCATATCTTTGCTGTGATAGAGTTTTTCTTGCCTGGGGCCCTAGCGGGACGTGATGTGACGTGACGTGATGTGATGTGATGGGATGGGATGACGTTGGCTCTGGAGCTTACTGCTCCAGAGAGGGAAGGGTAGCTCAATCTGCCTGAATTTTTCTGATCTCTGGGCACAAGGAGAGACTTGTTTCAGTTGGGGAGTTCAATACATTACTAAGGAAGGGGAGAAGAACACTCCATGTCTGTACTTCTTTATCTCTTGTCCTGTGGCAAAAGTATGTAGGATTGGGATTGCCAACCCCTTCTGTTCCTTTCTCTCTAATCCTGCAACTCAGTTCTCTGGGGTGGATAGCTTGTTGTTTTCTGGTCTTAGCCTTCTACCCTAAAGTTTGTTATCCTCCTTGGTCTGTGGAGTGGTGCAGCCGGATTCTTTAACTCTTTTCACCACTCTAACAGTTCAGGAAGAAGGACTTTGTCTCATTCCTTCTGTTCTAGAACTTTACTGCTCTAGCTGCTGATTGTTGGAGGCATTGACTTAATGTGTATGGCTGGCAAAACAGGATGACATTCCAGGCAAAAGCTATGTCTTTAACTGGATCCTGAATGTTGGTCTTAACCTCCACTCCTTGGCATGAGGTCCACAGGCCAGGGGCCCACAGTGCAGTAAGATCCAAAAGGGTCTTCTCCACTGCCGCTAGCTGTGGATGGGACTAGGGAGTGCCAGATGGGTTGTGGGGAGTCAATGGTAGTATCACCTACTAGAATGGTCAGTGAATCAGTTCCCTTTTGGGCTAGCCAGCTGCTGCAGCACAATAGGATCCATAAGGGTCTGCCATAGTCATTCCAATTACTTGCTATACATTTGAAAGTGCACAATGAATAAATATGATAGAAGAATCCATGCTTCTGAATTGTGATGTTGAAGAAGAGTACATTGACTACCAAAAGAACTTGGAGGAAATGCAACCAGGGTCCTCCTTAGTGACAAGGATGGTGAAAGGTCATCTCATATACTTTGAACACGTTGTCAGTAGGGGCCAATCATTGTACAACAGCATCATAATGGGAAAGGTGGAGGATCAGAGAAAGAAAAGAAGACTCTCAACAAAATGGATTGACACAGTGACTGAAACAGTGTGCTAGAACATATCAGAGATCATGAAGATGGGTCAGGATAGAACAAGTTTCAAACCTGTTGTTCAGAGTTACTTTGAGTCCAAGTTGACTCAATGCCACCTAACAACATGTGTATAGCACTGCATATATATGCATGTGTATCGGAAGCCTTGGTGACACAGAGATTAAGAGTTTTTTAATTGAAAAGTGGGCATTTTAAACCCATCAGCTACTTTGTCTTAGAAGAGAGCTGGCAATCTGTGCTTCTAAAGATTACATTGTTCAAAACCTACAGAGAAATTTTAGTTTGTCTTATACAGTCACCATGGGTCAGAATCTATATAATGGTACCCAGCAACAACAACATGTATATATTATATACATAAAGATTACTAAGAATTAGACTTCATCCAATAGTAAACACACACACACACATACACACACAAGTATGTATGCATGTGTATGTAGATATACCATATATTTACATGTTTGTTGTTGTTACATACATACATCTATGTATATATACATGTACATACACACATTGTAGCTTGCTATATTACACTTCATGAATAATGTGGTTTTTTATTAACGGAAAGTTTCTGGCAACATTGAGTTGAAGAAGTCAAATCACATTTTTTTAATAGCATGTGATCACTTTGTGTCTCATATTTTGAGAATTCTCCAAACATTTCAAACTTTTTTTTATAATACTACTGTTTTTTGTAGAGTCTCTGTGAGTTGTAATTAACTCAATTGCACCTAACAACACATAACAAACTTGCTTACTCAATAGGCTATATAGTATAGTGAAGCTGTAATATTTGTAAGCACTGTTGTTGTTAGTGTTACATGCTATCGAGTTGCTTGCTACTCATAGCTGCCCTATGTACAAGAGCCCTAAACCCTGCTCGATCCTGTGCCAACCTCACTGTCTCTGATACACTTACTCTCATTACTCCAATCACTGAAACAATCCATCTGATAGACGGGCTTCCTCTCTCGTGCTGTCCCTCCACCCTCTCAAACATGATATCCCTTTCCAAGGAATGGTCCCTCCTTGTAATATGCCCAAAGTATGTCAGATGAAGCTTGAGAATCCTTGCCTCCATGGAACAACCAGGTTTCACCCTCTCAGGACAAACCTATGTGTTCTCCTAGCAGTCCATGGGATATTCAATTCTTTTTCAGCACCACAGCTTGAAGGCATCAACTCTCTTACTATCATCCCTAGCCACTGTTCAGCTCTCTAACGCATAGCATGCAACTGTGAAGACTATGGCCTGGATCTGGTGCACCTTAATCTCTAACCTGATGTTGTTGCTCTTCAGTACTCTGGAGAGGTCCCTGACAGCTGAGTTTCCCAATGTAATTTGTCTCTTGATTTCTTGGCTGCTGGTACCAAGAGTGTTGACTGTTGAGCCAAGTAAACTAGAACTGTTAACTGTCTCAATCTCCACCATCCATGATGCTGCCAGTTGGCCCAGTGGTGAGAATCTTTGTTGATGCTCAGCTTCAATCCATATTAAAGGCTGCAGTCCTTGACCTTCGGCAGCAAGCACCTCAGGTCCTCCTCAGTTTCAGCAAGCAGGATTGTGTCATCAGCATAACACAGGTTGTTGATGAGTCTTCCACAAATCCTGATGTCATATTCCCCCTCATACAGCCCAGCCTCCCAGATGATCTATTCTGCATACAGATTGAAAAGGTCTGGAGACAGAATACATCCCTGGTGGACGCCCTTCTGATTACTGCCTCTTGGTTCAAGTACTGGTTTTGCATAAGCACAATCAAGTGTTCTGGGATTCCCATTCTGCTGAGACTCAACTACATCTTGTTGTGATCCACACAGTCAAAAGGCTTTGTGTAGTCAATGAAGCATAGAAAGTCATTCCTCTGGTACTCTCTGCTATAATTAGCTATAATATCCCTAGAACCACAGCCTATTCTAAACTCAGCCTGCACATCTGGCAGTTCTCTTTTGATGTATTGCACCAGTCATTTTTGGATAATTTTCAGCAAAATCTTGCTTACATATGATATTAATGATATTGTTCAATAATTCCATACTCTGTCAGGTCACCTTTCTTTGGAATGGGAACAAATATCAATCTCTTCCAGTCAGCTAGCCAGGTGGATTTCCTCCAGATTTCTTCACATAACTTAGTGAGCACACATCCTGGGCTTCATCTGTTTTATGTCAATTGGTATGCCATCAACTCTTGGAGCCTTGTTTTTTGCCAATTCTTTCAGAGCAACTTGAACTTTCTCCTTCATCACCACAGGCTCTTGCTCATACGATATTTCATGAAATTCTTCTGTGTCAGCCAAATCCTTCTGGTACAGTGACTCGGTATACTCCTCCCATCTTCTTTTAATGCTTCTTGGATCATTTAATACTCTGCCCAAAGCATCTTTAAGTATTGCCACTCGTGGCTTGAATTTATTTTTCAATTCCTTCAGTGTAAGAAATATTGAGTGAGTTCGGCTCTTTTGATTTTCTGACTCCAGCTCTTTGCACATTTCATTATGGTATCTTCTTATGTCATCCCAAGCTGCCTTTTGAAATATTCTGTTCAGCTCTTTAATTTCTTGATTTCTTCCTTTAGCTTTGGCTTCTTAGTGCTTTAATGCAATATTTGGAATCTCATCTGACATCCATCTTGGTCTTTTCTTCCACTTCAATCTTTTACATCTTCATGAATGATATTCATGATTTCTTCCCACAGCCCATTTGGTCTACACTCATTGGTATTCAAAGCCTCAAGCCTGTTTCTGAGATGGTTTTGAAACTCGAATGGGATAGACTTAAGGTCAAATTTTGGTTCCTGTGGATTTGATTTTATTTTCTTCAACTTCAGCTTGAACACAAATATGAATGGTTGGTGGCCTGTTCCATAATCAACACCTGGCCTGGTTTTCACAGCTGTTAGTGAGCTTCTCCTGTGATTCTTTCCACAAATGTAATCAATTTGGTTCCTATGCATACCATCAGGTGAAATGCATGTGTATAGCCTGCATTTTTGTTTCTTATAAAAGGTATTTGCAATGAATAAATAATTGAATATGCAGAATTCTCTTATTCTTTGTCCAGCCTCATTTCTGTCACCAAGTCCATGTTTTCCAGCTACTGATCCTTCTTCCCTGTTCCCAACTTTTGCATTCCAGTCACCCATTATTATCAATGCATCTTGATTGCATGTTCGATCAATTTCTGACTGCAA